TGAGGAGTCGGAAACCTATGTTTGTAAAACTCATGGGTAATGAGAGTAACTGCTCCCTCGAGACACGTCGGTTAAGTCGTCATTTACAGATTTGTACTATTAAATTTGGGTGATTGGGACAGGCAATGCCCCAGCGGCGTATCGTAGGACTAAAGAACAAAACCTACAAGCCAACCCTTCCGTCTAGACGGTGGGAGAGCTGGAGCCACCGCCCGCCCTGCCCTGTCAGAGGCGACATGCAGGTCATCCGCCGAGAGCCGGCCAGACCGCGCCAAGTTCGGACACAGTCCGACCCGTGCATCCAATTCTCTCTGCGCACCAGCAAAACCTTTCCACAGGGAAGACGAGCGATAGTCGTTGGGAGACATCCCCCATAAGACCGCTTCGCAAGGCGTTGAACTTGCAATTATTTCGCTAGCAGCCTGCAACGAGCGATCTTCGCCAGCCAGTGGGCTAATGACACCACCCACTCCATGTAACGACGTCGACGACGCCACCAAGCCAGGGAGGTGGCCACACATCTTCCAGCCGATAGACCTCCCGGCACCCACGCTATGCCGCCGCTCTGCCGCCGTAAGCACCAGCTCTCCATTTCACCGACGGCCATCCGCCGGGGCGTAGCTGGACCCCGGGTGTGCTCCGGCCAACGCCGGCAGCGGCCCGTCGGCCGGGAGCAGCTGCGGATCCGGACGCGACGTCATCAGAGTTGCGACGACGCAACGTCCGCCGGCGCCGGCGCCGGCGCCGACAGCGGTCCGTGAGCGGGGAGGAGTCGGCGCGTCTCGACCCAACTGTCCGCCGCCCGACGCTGACCCAGATTCGGCCCTCGCCGGCCGTGCCGCGTTCGTCAGCTGTTGTCAGAGCAGTGAATGCACTTAAGCAGGCCCGCATCGCTCGCCGGACGCCGCGAGGAATGTGAGGCGGTGGCGCTGAATGACCGAGACCACACACGAACACCGAACGTCCCGCCCCGTCCCGCCGACGCCTACACCAGCACCAGACGGCAGATATGTCCCGACTTGCCACCGAGGGAGGTTTGCCACCAACGATCTGCAGAGTTGCCAGGACATCTGTTCCGAAAAGCAATCACCCAAAGTTTGCTCCATTTTGCCGGCCTTCATTTCTCCTTAACGCATGCTTCCGGCATTGCATAAGCGTAGTGGCCACGTCGTCTCCAGCGTCAGTACCGTCAGCGCGGCGGCGATGGAGCGTACGGGCCGTGAAACTTCCAGCGTCTTTAGCCGGCCGTTTCTGTCCCTTTGACGCCACTGAACAGCACGAACGCGGTTTTGGAGCCTCGAAAGGCTCCAACAGGCTTCAGTGATAAGTCCTCGATGCGCGACATCGATTGGACGATCCATTTGCCGGCAGGGCTTTAAGAATTGCAGTGCCCGCCAGACGGTTGATGTCAGAGCTGTGTCTCATCCGCTGGAGACGCCATCAACGCTGGGTCGAAGACAAAAGCATTTCGCAGCAATAGCTTTCGCGACGTCGGCCATGGTGACCAGCATTGATCCGCCGAGCCCCAACATTTTAATACCTGGTTTGTCCCGCCGAGCTCTAACATGACACCACGTGGTTTGTCCCGCCGAGCTCTAACATGACACCACGTGGTTTGTCCCGTCGAGCTCTAACATGACACCACGTGGTTTGTCCCGTCGAGCTCTAACATGACACCACGTGGTTTGTCCCGTCGAGCTCTAACATGACACCACGTGGTTTGTCCCGTCGAGCTCTAACATGACACCACGTGGCTTGCCCCGTCGAGCCACCAAAGTTTCACTTCCTGTTTTGTTGAACGCCTGGCTTCAATATCTAGCGCTGACCTTCGCGCAGGCAAGCTTCGGGGTTTTCATCACCTAATGGAAGCGTGTAACGCTAGTCCTGTTTTTTTTGTACGGCTAACGTCCGCCTCGCCCCGCCCGGCAGCCAAATGGAACACGCCAATCTTCCTCACTGCACCGGCATGCCTGCACGGTCAAGATGGCTCCGGACATGTGCCAAGACAGCGGGGAACAGCGTCAACACTGGATCCAGGCGACAACCGACCATGTCGTTCTCATCCGCCCTTCCCGTGAGACCAGGAAAATTTCTCAAATCTATGAATTCCAGCCAACGCACTCTAGCCAACACAAATCTATGCGTTTCACCTGCAGCCGCGGCCAGCTACATCACATGCAAATCTGATCAAGCCTCTTTTCTAAGCGGACGTTCGAAGTGCATGATGCATACGCCATTAGTTATTATGCACTGTGGTTGAAACACCTGACAAAGTTATTTCTGGTGCCTTTGCTTTCATTTCAGACCATGTATCTTGCTCATTCCCTAAAAGAAACTTCGAATCTCGAGTTACAAATCGAAGCACCGTCCTCAACTTCCCAACGGTCCCATCTCGGGAACGCAGCCGCGTTGAGCAGGTTCTACTCGTCACCAGAGTTACGAGCCTGCCGTGTCTACAGTGCTTCCGCGTCACGACACGAGCCTGCCGTCCAGTCTCCAGGGGTCAGGGTCTAGGTTAGGGCGAGGGGGTACGGTGATGTGCTTCAGACCGCGCAACTGGGACGTGCCCGGAACGTTCCCAGACCATACCCGGGGCCGCGCTCCAGCTCCAGCTCGTGAGCCGGCGTGCGCAGCCCATGCTCCAGGCCGCCGACCCGGAATTGGTCGAGATCTGGCCGGCGTGTGCTCCGGGCGTGCTTTAGCACGCGCTCGGGTGGCCGGCTAGACACCCTTCGCTCGGGTGGGGTGGGGGGTGGGGTGGGGGTGGGGCAATTTGACCCTCCACTAAGATCTCGGGAACTAAGAAAGCTAGGGGCGCCAAATTTACAGGGCGTCTTGACCTGTACGTGGAAACACTCAGGTCAAAGTTTGAGCTTCCTAGGTCATGACCTTCAGGTCAAATAAGGTCAAACAAGTTAAAATTCTAGATTGGTTTCTGAAGTGTCCCAGAACCTAAGCAACTGTTTCTAAGCAAAAATTCACAAGCCCATTTGATGTCAGTGACCTTGTTTGACCTTTTGAAGATCCTAGTGACCAAAATTATACAAGACTGCTCTGAGTTTTGCATCTGAATAAGCGACAAACACTGCGCTAGGCAGTATGTTCGTAAAACAAAATGTTGGCCCGGGTTGTCTTAGGTCGGTGACCTTGTCTAACTTTTAAGAAATCAATGGAAGATGTATAATGCGGTTCCTGCCGTCAATAAGTACGAAATAAGCATCACAAGCTTTCCCATACAGGAAGCCCTAGATTAATAAATCAGGTAGGTTTTTCACCTTGGTCTGACCTTTATACTTGACCTTAGGTCAATGTAATATGCTCATTCATTATTTGTGGTACCTAAGAAAGCATATCAGAGATGTATGGCTTCGTCAAACACTCCGTTATTATATCAGATTGGACGATTCCCCAGAAATTGCCTTCGCTGAAACCATGACCTGACTTTGACCTACCATAGGTCAGTGATCTTACAAGGTACATCTAAATCTTTATGCCAAACGATCCGCTATTCAATTTTCTACAAAAAGGTGTGACTAGACTACGCCTTTCGGAACCCATTCTGGAAAAACCCTCGGGGGTCAATTCCCCCCCCCCCTCCCACCCGAGCGCGTGTTAAGTGCTCCGAACCAGCTCCGTGGCGTGTTCCTGGCCAGACGAGGCTGGTGGCAGTGGCCCGTCCGACACCCCCGCAGGCCGGATTGGAATGTTGGGCCGTCCGGAGTAGACGGCCGTTACGACACGGGTCGCAATGTCGTCCGGCGACTGAGCGCAGGCCTCTTTTTTAAGTGGATGAATGAGTTCTCGTATATCGGTGCCTATGTTTCGAAAGGAATGTCCCACTTTTTAAGCCGCGGCCGCGCCGCCAGGAATCTGGAGTCCATCAATCTCGCAGTCAGCTTTGCCTAAGCGCAGGGCAGAGCGCGATGGACGTGCCTAACTAAACCGAAACTCGCAATCGTGGGTCACCCGGCCCCACTGGCCCCAGCGTGGACAGGTTACCATGCCAACCGAGGTGAAAGGTCGCAACCTTGTTGGCCCGACCAGTTGCATGTGTCGTAAGAGACCCGAATTATACACCGATCAAGGAAAGGAATTAATGACAATACAAACAAAGAGCCCAGCACGCATGGCGGTAATTATTCGGTTATTTTGACTCCCTCCCCGACAGTGCAAAAGGCTGTGTCCGACTCCGCAAATGTCCTAGGGCGCGTCCTGGTCACTCCAGCGGCCGCCGCACTGGATCGGGCGCCGGCGGTCGGCTGGCGGGCCGGCCGGGGCGGGGCGAGGCGGGGGAGGAGCCGGCGGTCCTGCCCGCACCATTAGCGGTCCGGAAAGCTGCTCCGATCAGATCGGGGCGGCCGTGCCGCCCCGCCTGCCCTCTCATCGAAGCTCGCCGGCCGCGTCCGCTGGCGGGCCCTCGCCGCCCCCGTCCGTCGGCGGACCGGCGCAGTTCGCCGGCTTAGCTCGGATTTCGGTGGTGATAAAGTGCAACGGACGTCTCCACGCGTGGCGCGGGAGGAGACGTGACAGCCTTTGTGAAGATGACCTGAATTCGGCAGTTGTGGACTGGGACGAGACACAAATCCCATTACGTACACGCGACGTCCTCCCCAAGTCTGAGCAGACGCGCCTGGCGCATCAAGCGCGTCCATTAGACACAATCGAACACGTTCTTCCGGAATTTTAATTAGTCCCGAACCGGAGGAGCGGGACCGGAGCGCGATCACGCCGACCCGCCATCATATCGGAGCCGTCGATCGTGATCCGTCGGCGGAGCGCGCGTCGGCCGTCGGTCCGTTGCGGTCGCTGCGCCACCGGAGCGAGCCATGAATATTCATGCATCGCCCCGCGGCCGGCCGCTGTCGGTCTGAATCAGGAGGGTGCCCGTCACCGTGCCGCACGAGCGACCACGCTCAAAGGCACATGCCGGACAACTGACCGCGTTGACGGCCCCGTTGGCGTCTGACGGAGCCTGGCAGCGACAGCGTCGCAAGACTGACCTGCGTTCGTTTCCGTTGGCGACGTCTTGGGCGTGGCGGTGGCGCCATCTGTAGAGGTGGCGGTGGCGGCAGCAGCGTCGGGAGCGGGGGACAGGACGGAGGCAGAGTCGGCGTGTGACTGCGACGGGATGCAGGGGAGAGGGGCGGTGGGGGCCGGGGACGAGTCGCGGCTGTAAGCGGGCGGCGCGAGCTTGGCCACGGGCCGGGAGAGGTCGGGGACAGATTTTGGCCTCCCTCGTCGTCGTTCATCGACCAGAGGCGCCGAGGACAGCAGGTCCCATTGGCGCAGTTCCTCGCGGTCAATCTCGAAAGACGGAGGGAGGCCATCGCCTAAAAAAGGCTGCTGACTGGAAGGGTGCGGCCTGAGCTGTTCGGGCGACTCGCTGGGGCGGAACTGTTCGTCCCGTTCGTCCCAGTCGTACTGCTCCAGGTATGTGCGGCCACATCTGGTGCGCTCCAGCGTCTCCGAGCGCTGCACCAGCCGCTCGTAGCGTACGTCATCGGTGGACCGGCAGCCAACGCGCTCCTGGTACCGCTGGCGCATCGGCTCGTTCACGTAAAGGGCGCCACGCGCCACACGGCGCGGGTCGGCGCCGTCTGACGGCGGCGATTCGACGCGTCGCTCGGACGGGCCCAGACTCTCCATCGACTGGGCGTGGCGGAGGCTGGCGTGGCGCGGTGACTCGCGCCGCTGCCGCTCACCGCACCAGCCGGCGTCGGCACCGGCGCCGGCGGCAATGGCACCGCCAAGACGCGAATCAGCTGCGACGCCGGCCGCGTGAGGCACCACCGGCGATGCGGCCGGCGGCGGCGCGCGGTACGGCGGCGGCTCGCCAGACGAGCGCACGATCTCGGAGCGTGGCAGCGGCATCGGCGGTCGGTCCTCGGGCCGATACGGCGCCGGCTCGGCGCGCGGGCCCGTTGACAGTGAGGCGCCCTCGTCTGGCCGCGGCGTCGCTGGATCGAAGCGCTGTCGCGAGGAGAGCACGTCGGGCGTGTGAGAGCGCGGCCGTGTGTCGCGCTCGAACTCGCTCGCGCCAGATGACAGGAAGTCGGGAGTGCGGGAGCGGTGGCGGGCGGCCTGGCTGGCCGCGGCGCCGCCCACTGACGGCGGGTCGAGCCGGAGCGGCGGGCCGGCCTGCCGCGTGCGCGGTGTCTCCTCCAGCAGGCCCTCCAGTGAGCGCGTGCGCCGGTGGTGGGACAGCGCCGGGCCGCTCGGCTCCTCGTTCTTCACGCGCAGACCGTCGGGGAAAATGTTGCGGACCGACTGGTCGCTCGAGTCGGGTGTGTGCGAGCGGCGGCGCGCCTTCTTCAGCGTGTCCGAGTCGTACACGTTGCGTTCGTCCAGGTCAGACCACTTCTGCACCTCAAGGTACTCGACCGAGTCACGTAGCTGCGCGGCGATGCGCCCCACCTGCACCAGCCGCTCTTCCGGCGAGCTAATCTGATTCACCTTGCGACCGATGTCGGGCCGCTTGCTGGCGTCCAGCTCGCGTTGGTTGTTTAGCTGCGGCCTCGCGCGCGACGGCCGCTCCTGCAGTGCCGCCGCCGCCGCCAAGTCCGAGTAATAGTAAGGCGCGCGGCCGTCACTGCCCGTTGACGTGGCCGAGTTCACCGAGATATTGGAGCTGCCGCGCCGGTGGTCGATGAGGGACGTGGCAGCGGCCGGTGGCTCGCGCGGCGACAGCTGTGTGCGCGGCATTCGGGGACGCGCGCCAGTCTCGCGCGCCGGCGGCGGCGCGGCGGCGGCCTCTGGCGGCGTCGGCGGCAGCGGCGGCGGCGGCGGCGCCGGTGGTGGTGGCGGCGGTGGCGCGCGGCCGGCCGGCACGCCCGGCGGCGGGGGTGGCGCACGCTCGGGGGGTGGTTCCTGCGCCGCCTCGTCGCGGAAGGTGCGCGCAAAATCTGACTGAAACTCGGGGCTCTTGACCGGTGTCAGTTCGATGCTTGTCAGCGAGCTGAAGCTCTCGCGCTTTACCACAGCCAGCTGACTGTCGGCGGAAGTCACCGACATCAGCGTGTGTATCGAGACTTCGGACGGCATACGAGACCGCGGTGTCGGCAGATTTTCGTACGTCTGATGCGGTGTGCCTGGCTTGGGCGGCGCCGGTGGCGGGCACTTCTGCAGCGACCGGGGTGGCGTCATCGTCATGTAGCCGCTGTTATCCTGCACCGGATATTTCTCTTCAGAGAGCAGAGAGCGCGGCTGTCCGGCGGCCAACACGACGCCGGGATAGTGCTCTTCTGAACGGAGCACGTGCGGGTCCTCGGATACGGTCATCAGCGCCATTTCGTCCACCACCGGGCGACGTTTGTACTTGTCGTTACGCACGCTCTCGACAGATGGCGTCTTTTCTTGCTTGATGGGAACGCTGTCGAGTGAGCCGGAGTCCTGCGAGCGGCGCGACACGATGTCGGCCGCCAGCCGCGCCAGGCTGTCCTGTGACGAGCCCTGGCTGGAGACGGAGCCACGCGGTCCGGCCAGCTCGGTCACCACCTGCTGCCCGCCCACCGACGTCATCTGCGCCGAGTGCGCCGCCAGCAGCGCGTTTAGCAAGTACGGCGGCGCCTCGGCCTCGGCCTGATCGTAGCTGAACGTCGCGTCGGCGCCCGGCTGCAGCTCGTCCATTGGTGGCGGCGACATAGGGATGGGCGGTGGTGAGACGAGGTCGCTGTCCGACGAGTCGGGGTGCTCGCGCTGGTCGTGCATCTGCAGGTAGTAAGAGGCCGGCCGGAACGTGTCCGACAGGCTGAAGCGTCGATTGCGCGGCCTATCCGTCTCCTTGGAGCCCTCGTCGTCGGCGTCCGATGCCGAACTGTCGGCTGAGCTCGACTTCTTCTCCGACTTGCGCTTCTCGCCCTTGAGCTTCTTGGTCTCGGCCTTGCGTTTGTTGTCGATCTTGGTGTCGGCTGGCGGCGCTTTGCTAGGGCTCTTGGTGTCGCCGTTCTCGGACGGCACCTCCATGTAGACGGGCTCGCCTCCCGGCACTCCTGGAAGCATGTACTCGTACTGCTGTCCCACTGGCGGAATCTCGGAGTACCGGTGCGGCTCGTTCAACACGCCGTGGTTCGAGAGCTTTTTGAACATGCTCTGCGACGCCTCGAAGCTGAGGTTGAGCACATTGGCGTTCATCTCCATGTAGGTGGCCTCCTCGGAGCGGCCGGGTTGTGGCCCGCGCGCTGGCAGCGGTGGCGGTGGCGGTGGCGCGACCGGCGGAGGCGGCAGATTCGCTGACGACTGACGCGAGTGCACCGCCGCCTCCGCCGCCGGCTCGGACATTTTGCGCGGCGGACTCATCGGCAGGTACTGGTCCTCCGTCAATGTGTTCAGCGTCAGCGAGCCCGGCGGCGGCTGATTGGCGTAGATGGGAGCTGCCGCCGGCCCACCAGGAGTCGGCCGAGCCGGCTTGGGCGGCACGGCGGGAGGCGCGCGCGATTCCGGGCGCCAGGGCGATCGACCGAGCGCCACCCCCGCCGGCGCTGCGCCCTCATCCGGACCGAACCGCGTAATGGCGGTATCCGAGCCACCAGCGGCCTCGGCAGCGGCGACCGGCTCCCAGCGCGCCTCTGGCGCCCTCGGGACGGCCTGCTGTGTCTCCGCTGTGGAGGCAGGATCCCGCCGGGCGTCCGCGGACCCGGCCGGGTGCCAGAGCGCCTCGGCCGGCCCGTGCCGGTCCGCCGACCGTCGCAGCTCGCCCAGCACACCCGTTACTCCCAGTAAGCTCGGCTCAGAGTGCACCATCTGGTCGTCGGTCACGTCTGAGTCGCTGCCGTCATGGCGAAGGTCGTGCACGGTCTCAGCCCGAGTCGGGGCCCAATCATTCCTCGACGGTCGTTCTCCCTCGAACCGGGCCAGAAGGTCCTCCACGGACGACGCGTTTTGCGGCGGGTCGCGCGCGCCGCGTGCCTCCGAGTCCTCCTCGAGCGCGAACTTCCTGATGTTGCTGCGTGACTTGCGCGAGTCGATGATATCCTGCGGGCTGCGAATATCGCGCAGCTCCAGGCTGTTAGCTGCGCTGCCGTCCGAGATAGAAAGTGATCGGTCCTGCTGGAGCGTATCCTCCTGGGACATGGCTTCCCTGCCGCCGGTCTTCAGCGACGCGTTCAAGCTGCGGATGGCCGTGACTTGCGCCTCGGACGCTGTCACTGTCGTGACTTCTGTCTCTCGAAAGTCGGCCGGGGGCGTCTTCAGCTGGGATACTTGGGCTTCAGCCACCTCTGCCTGCGGTCTGACAGGGCGCAGGGGCCGCTCCATCTGTTCTTCAGTCGCCATGGACTCATCCAGACGACTTTTGAACGCCTTGATTCGCTCCTGCACCAGGTTCCTGGGAGGCGAGTCGTCCTGCTTGGCCGGACTCTCCTGCCTCGGTTGCGCCGCCGCTCTCTTCGGCATCACCTTCGGGGGCACCTTGATGGGCACCGGCTCCTCTTTCTTCTCTGGCCGGACGTACTCGTAGCTGAACTCCTTCACCAGCCGGGACTCGTCGATCCGGTCGGCATCGTCCACGTGCCAGCCGACCGCCGGCCAGCCGGCCGCCGCACCCTTCCTCGGCTCGGGCGGCGGGGCGCGCCGGCCGCCGGAGCGGCCCGCCGGGGCGCGCACCGGCGCCTCATCCGCCGTCAGCTCGGCGCGCAGCGTGTCATAGCCGCTGTCCGAGTGTTTTCCCAGTGTGGCGCTCTCGGGGCGGTATAACTCGCTGAGGGCGCCGACGTCCAGCTGGCGGGCGGTAAGCAGCGGTGGCAGGCAGGCGGGTGGCGTGCCGGCCGGCTCGCCGCCCGCGCCGCACCGCTGCACTGCCACCTTCTCTTTGGTCGGGTAGAAGTGATCGTAGTTGTGCAGCTCGTGGTGGTACTTGTCCTTCTGTGAGTAGTACTGGCTGTGGGCTTGCTGAAAGCCGTCGCTGGGCAGCTGGCCGGCTGACTTATCAAAGTTGCGGAAGTCCATCTCAGTCTTAAGCCGCGCTGGCGGGCCACGGCCGGCGTCGTGGCTGCAGGCTGTAGCTCGGTTGTCCGGCTTCCGCGGCGCCAGCCCGTCCCGCCGCACCTCGTGCAGCGGTGACGTCACGCCCGAGCCGGGCCGCGCCGGCGAGTAGCGACCGCGCTGTCCGGCCGCCGCCCACGGGTCGCCGTCGCCCAGCCGGTACGACAGGTTCACATAGTCTTGCGCCGGCGGCGGCAGGAATTCCGAGTCCCTGCCATCTGTCGAGCGGAGAGGGAACTTCAGCCTTGCATCCGCGCCGTCCAGAGGCTTAGTCGAGTGAGAAAGCTGAGGGCGAGCGAAATCTTCCTCCACGCAGGTGTTAGTAGAAGCGGAGGCAATGGGCACAGATGCAGCGCTATCAACAGGGTTAGTTGAGAGGCGGGATAAGGATCGCTGCTAGCCACCTCACCACTAAGCCGTCGGATGGAGTCACCAGCCACGATTGATAGCGCCACCCGCCACGCCCATTGCCGTGTGTCCGTTCGGCCAGAATCATTGCATGCAGAAGGACTTTCTGAAACTACCCAGCCACAAAGGTACTCTTGAGTGACAGATAAATTTGTTTTGAGTGAGCAGATAAGAGGTCCCTATCAGGAACGCAACTAGCTCTTCAAGACTCGGCCTGAATATATGGACGTTACTTCTGGGGTTTCACGAGATATGCTGGATTGTTCATTTGGATCGGTTGCTTCAGACATACTCTGATCATTGCACTCGTCAAACTGAGCATTGAACAGCGTTTTTTTTTTTACTTGCTCTTGCTGAAACACTACGCACGAATTTGAACAGATGTCTCGAGCCGGAAAAGGGATCAGCAAACCTGCCGTTGAAATATCCACCAAATTGCGGTGCTCAATCTAGTCAAGCCGCCACTCTACGCTGGTTCACACAGGGCACGGCAGAATCGTTAGCGCACGCTGGTCCCTTTACCAGAGCGTCGAAGCAAGCATGCAAGCGATCTGATAACCCTCCCCTCGCCAAACTGGGTCTCACAAGCGTCCGGCTCGGTTAGTCAATCCCGCTCTACAGTTGACCGCACGGCCGCCTAGTTTGGTTAGTATCCCCCACCAGCGTCAAACCACAGAGTGCACAGTTCGCTGAAGCGATCCACGCAACGGCGAAGCACTGACGCCCAGGGATTCGCTGGTGTCTGCACGCTACGGACGAGGCATAGAGCCGTACGGACACGTCAGAGCCTCCACGCCAACAGCGAGCCACGCTGCTGCGCGCCGCGTGGCGGACTGCTTATCTCACAGGGTCGCGATCCTCACACACTGCACCACAAATCAGCACCTTCTGGCGAGGGCTTCTGAAGAGGACTGGGACGCCGACACCGGCGCGCGAACACTGCATGCGGCACTGACACCCCAGCAACAGCACTTAAGGCGTGCGCTGCGGCATAATCCGGGCCGCCTCACTCCAAAAATGTTGGAGTGGCCACGATCGGCGGGCATGACCCACCTTACCGGTTTGCAGTCCGGGCCATAAACCTTACCAGATCCTATCGGAACACAAACCAGGCCTGGTCACATACATTCCTTGTCCAGACGAGTCGTGCAATCTGTTCCTGGTTAAGGGATCCACCGATGACCTCGGTCGGGTATTCTCGAGTCAGACTTTACAACTCTCTCGTCGTCCAGTTAGCAGACTGCCACCAGATTTTCGGCAGGGTTATTGTAAGGTCACCGAGCGGGAAAACAGCGCGTGACACTGTCATCAGCGGAAAACTGAGATGTCCGCCCGGCTCTGCACTGCGACCAAATCTCGGCCCGGCCACGTGTCGACAGTGCAAGGCTCCATATGTACTCCCTGAGAAGCAGAGTAGGCGCCGGCAGCCCTGACTGGGCCCCTGTATGGGAGCCGTGCTTACTCAATCCACACTCTTTCCGATGACTTCATACTGGGCAAGATGTTGGCTTGCCTCCCTTCGACTGGTGGCGAGGATCCTGCGCGGCCCTCGTGAGAGAACGTATAGATCTGATCCGAAACCGTGTGGTATACTCGATCTGCATACTGCGTGTGATTGCAATCCTGACTCTGCCTGTGACTCTACTTGTGACTCCACCTGTGATTCCACCTGTGACTCCACATGGCTCGGCTCGGCTTCGGCTCGGGCCTGCCGTGCCTACCTCCGCTGTCCGGCTCGGGCCGGCCGTGCCTACCTCCGCTGTCCGGCTCGGACCTGCCGTGCCTACCTCCGCTGTCCGGCTCGGGCCGGCCGTGCCTACCTCCGCTGTCCGGCTCGGACCTGCCGTGCCTACCCCCACTGTCCGGCTCGGGCCGGCCGTGCCTACCTCCGCTGTCCGGCTCGGGCCTGCCGTGCCTACCTCCGCTGTCCGGCTCGGGCCGGCCGTGCCTACCTCCGCTGTCCGGCTCGGGAAGACCGTGCACGGTCTGCGGCCGCGGCGTCCGCGCCCCCTCGCTCCGCTCCAGTTCCTGTCGCACTCTCCTGGAGATCATCGACACCGGATAAGCGAGCCGCGGGGAAGGCCTCGCGGCGGGGCGACACCTCGGAACACGGAGAGGTGCGGCGACCTCTGGCTGGGAATGTTGGACTGGGCACCAGGCGAACAATGCATGCTAATTTCAATAGTCGGGCGTAGAAATAGCGTTGTTCGATGCTCCCAGGACGATGGAAGGAGACAAGTGAGTTGCCTGTTGCGGCCTCGTCGGCCACAGTCAAGGACAGCATCGATCAGCGCAGTCCTTGAAACCAACAGCGATGAATCACACCGATTACTTGTGGTTCAGGCCTTGGCGAACCACAAACTGCGGTAGTATGGAACAATAGATGGAATATTCAACGCTAGGACGCGTTAATTGGTGCCGATTAACGGCTTGCTTGACCTTTTTGGTTTAACTTTTATACTAATTAGAGCAAATAATAAGCAGATGACCTTCGAATCTCATGCATCGATAACCATTCCCAGCGTTGTTCAAGACCCATTATCAGTAGTCGAAGCAAGCACCAGCAACTACTGTCACGGTCCGGGAAATTAAGTTCACACAAGGAAAGCGTGAACATGTTACACCTTGGCCGGCTGGACGGCCAGGCGAGCCGTCACTCTCACTGGTCGCTCGGCACTCAGGGGTGAGCGCGGACGGCCGCGCTGGACCTCACCGTCGGTACTGGTCCGGCGGGAAACGCGCCGCGTCCGTCAGCTTGGCCGACTTGCGGGTGAGCGGCGACTGCAGCATCCTCTGCTTCCACTCCAGAAGGCGCTTCATCGACTCCTCCCGCTGCCGACAGAGAGCGGGGTAAGGCGGGCGGCACACGTTCGCGTGGTCGGCGGCGCGTCAACAATCAGATGCGGTACACGTTAGGTGCACGGCCATGGTGCGTGCGGCGTGGTGAGTGTACAGCAAGCACGCGCAGTCCGGGCAGCAAGGTCAAACACGCAGCGGCCAAGAACCGGCTTGGACGGCTTGCCTCAAAACGGACCCAACGACGGAGGAATGGGAGGCCGTAGGAATGCTGGCGGAGAACAAGGGAGCAGCTCGAAGACAATAGACTTAGTCACGATGGCCGACGAAAAAGACAAAGGAGGCCGTTGCCTACGAGCTATGCTGGGAGGATAAGCCTCTTGGCTTTCCACCTTGTCTACACAACCGATGCATGTCAATAACGCGCTTCCCGAGATCAAGAGCGGACCTAAAAGTTATCTGTACGCAGATCCATGCTAATTGGGACGATGCGACAGCCACAAAATTGTTTAAACCCCCGCTCTGGTCGCATCGGCTCAGGGAACCAGACGCAACATTGGCGGGGCTTCCAAGCACCCGGCCATAAAGTCCAGTCAACCGACACGATAACAGGTGCACGGGAGCCCAAAACGACAGGAAGGCGGCACAACACACACCTTGAAGCCCAACAGCGAGCTATAAACAATTACGCAACAGCCCCGCCACTAAAGAGGTCAATTCACCTCGACTTCCGCAGCCGACTGGCCAGGCCTTCCGCAGCCGCACCAACTGGCCAGGCCAGGTAGCATTGAACGGAAGCCGTCCAGCTGACGGGCCGCCGTGACGTCACGGCAAATCCCGGCGGCATTTCGCGGAACATTCCTGACCGTACGATCCGGCATGGCCGGCGTGCCGACCGGGGCTGAATCAGATGACACTGGACAACGTGCAGGCTCAGCTGACTGCACGGCTCTCTGCCGGCGGCGCGGCGGCCGGCAGCACACGGCCTCTGCCCTCCGGTGAGGCCGGCGCGCCTTAGCAGACACGAAGAGCATCCACCCGGACCCCACCGACCGGGGGCCGGCTCGACACAGCGGGGACCGACCCGGCGCCGAGCCCGCCAAGGTCATGGGAACGGTCGCGCGGCCATTGTCACCAGGTGCTGCGCCGGCTGCTGGAGCCCCCCCCCCCCCCCCCCCCCCCCCTCCTCCCCTTCGCTAGAGCGGCGGCCCGTGAGCTGCAGTCTCCGCGGCGCCGCCGCGACGCAGATGGCGGACCCGCTCACAGAGAGCGGTCACCGCTGGGGCATGGCCTCCTACTACGAACATGTCGGGGTGTAGCACGGTCTACGCTCCGAGCACAACAGCGTCTCTCTGTCATGCCCGCCGACCGCCCATCGCCGTCACAAACGAAAGGACGCGCAATAATGCAGCGGCCCCGAGGAGCCCCGCTTCGCCAATGGTTTTGTATTGCGTCGGAACGGCTTTGTATTCAGCGCTGTGACGACGCCTTCCTACGAAACACTAAACGCATACTGATGGTGAGGCTGCAGCATCAGCGCGTGCAAACGTCTCGGCCCTCGAGATAACTGCTCGCACAGGCATTGATCACGAGGACGTAGGAGAGATCACCGTCGCTGCCTGCGTCAACACTGTTGCAAATAAGAGCGATTGAGATTGGTCCCAAATCAATTGTTAAGCCGTTCGCATGCATACACAACTCGTCTGATGATTGCAGCGGTATTACTTCACTGTCACTGTGATCTAATAGAAGTCCATCTTTTTTTTGGAAAGATTTCAGATCTGTCGAAGTTGCCGCCTAAGTGGGGCTCAACAAGAGCGACATACCTGGGCGAGGCTTAACAAGCTAATATGCCCTAATGAAGCTCTTGCGTCTTAGCTTGTTTCAGGAGGGCAATGACATGTGGCCCATCACGACAACCATCTCCCTTTACCTGAGACCGTCAAATGGTAAACCGTCTAGAAGCCCCGCATTTCGTCGATCTACACTGACAGCATGACGCAACATACACGCCGCGACACACACGCGGACAAGAGCAGAACGCATGACGGGGCCGCGATGAATCCGAATCGTTGCGATAGAGGGCAAGCGATCTTTGCTGACGTAACCATGGTAACACGCATGGTATGACGCATGGTACGCGTGGTATGACGATGGTAGGACGCGGAAGGTAGGACGCGATGGCATGGAAGGTAGTCTGATCCACGCATGATTAGCAGTGCCTCTCGAATGAGTGTGTCTGCCCTAAAGGCCCAGGCCGAATCGGCTGTGGCACTGGCAGCTGCAGAGGAGCCCGAGGGTAGCCGAATGCTATGACGCAACACATCAGACGTTGAGCTCCTACTTCTTTCGATTATGCGATGAAAACACATGCAATATGACGTTAGCACTTGCCATGTATGGGCCACAACAATGAGCATGAAGGTGACTTTGGCAGCATGCACCTCGCGGAAGCCACATACTTTATCTGGAGGTAAACGCTGCTCGGGCGCACTGGCTCCACAAGTCACTGTGCTGTTGGCTGGCAGGCTGTTGGCTTTCCCAGACCCCGTTTAGGGGAATATCCACAGAGAACCAATAACCACCCAAAAGTTTGCCGAGTGTTTTATAAAAAGCAAGTGGTTGTACTATCGCCTTAACTAGATATAATTCGTCCTGACGTTGAGCCCGACCCCCAAATGCCTTCCCAATGACGGAAATTTTCTCCACGTGGATAAGTCGAATGTTTCTCCAACGACAGGTCGAAACGCGTCACACAGAGAGCGATGCTCCACCCCGTGGAAACGATCCCCTGCTTGGTCAGGAAACACGAGCGTTTGTGTTGGATGCCGACCAACGAGTACTGTCTCGAGCCGCTGACCAAACCGGCCTCCATAGCTACCACAAATCATGGCGACGGCAGCGAACATTCAAAAGAACATCTTTTCACCAACGTTCGTAACAGTTCTTTGAAGTTCTGTTAGGCGAGATTCGCCCGAGTTTTTATGATTTACCTACTGCCAGCTGGCATGGCAGACATGATTGAAATTTCCACCCTGTAAACATCTTTTCAAAATAAATGGCGGTAATTTTCACCTTATAAGGACCTGTAATGCTCCATAATATCATCACGGTGACCTGGATGCATTACGAGGGGAATGGAACCAACAAAAAGTGGGATGGGTGGTTTTGGTTGCCATCGCATTTGCAATGTCGGCTTGCGATTGCTAGTGGTTTAGGTGCAATTGCAACGTCCATCCATTAGGAAAGATCTGAAATGCTGTCATCCTCTATGCTTCTTATTCGTTTAATAACACATTGAGACACAACGAAGGCAGATGAGATTATCTGGAGCAGCCGTATGCCGGTAGTCAGTATAGCCGAAAGCAGTATCTGCCTAAAGTCCTGTATGCTTTCCATACTTTGAATAGTCCATGTATATGCTTACTACAACTCTCTATGTATACTGCTTGCTGCAGTAGTGTCATGACAAACATATGCACCTTAAATCAATACATCGAGTAGCTGCGCTTTGTGTCTTGGCATCGTATTCAGCATCTAGCGGTTCATTGCACCACCAAATTTTCCGGACTCGGTTACGTCACAGGACATATTTTTGCCCTCGAACTACTGACTCAACCAAACAGCCACAAAACACATACCTGCTGAATTTTCTTCCTGGTGCCCTCTCTGGCGTCGTTGGGGTCGTCGGGCAGCGAGGTGTTCATCATGTCGAGCTCTCGCGCCTTCTGCCGCGCGAAGCGCGCACTAGCCGAGCGCATAAACCCGCTGCCGCGCGGCACACGGTCCAGTTCGCGGCCCAGCGAGTGCGTGACCGGCGGCGGCGGCGACGCGCCGTGACCGGGGAGCGTCGCCGCGCCGACCAGCGGCGTCGACGCGGCCGGGGGCGTCGGTGGTGGAGCATCGAGCGGCGCTGGCGGCAGCACCATGCCGCCGCTGTAGGCCGCCTGGCGCATTTTGTTGGCGTAGCCCTCCTCGGACCAGTAGTCATGCGCCGGCGGCTGGTAGCGCGCCAGGCTCGACTTGGGCCGAGGAGCGCCGGCAGACGGCGACAACAGGCGCGCCCCGTGGCGGCCAGCGCGCCGCTCCCACTCCAGGAAGTCGGCCGAGTGCGGCCGAGGCAGCGCCGCCACCGGCGTTGCCGTCTGGCCGCCGGCGCCCCGACCGACCGCCGATGGGTATCCCGGCGCGCCAAGCGGCGCCTCGCGCCCGCCGTGCTCCAGCATCGGCGGGTACGGCTCTGGGTAGCCGTAGACGCGCGGCGCGTCGCACGCTGGCGGCGGCGTGCATAGTTCGCCGGACATGTGCGTGCTGCGGCCGGCGCTCGAGGCGTACGACTCACGCGCGTGCGCACGCAGCTCGGCGGCGCGGCCGCGACCGCGCGACGAGCCGCTGCCCAGGCTGGCGTTGTACACGTCCTCGTAGTCGGCGCGCGCGTGCGGTGGCGCGGCGGCGTAGGCGTCGGGCGTGCGGCGCTCGGCCGGCGTGCGGCGGCTCGGCACTTGTGCGCCGGCGGCCATCTCGCCCAGCCGGTCGCCGGGCTCGGGCGAGCTGCTCGCTTCTCGGCTGCCCGTCAGGCGGCGCGGCTTGGGAGGCGCGTTGGCGTAGAGGGGCTGGCGCGGGTCGCGCCGCCCCACCGACTCCTGGCTAGCGCTGAAGTCGGGCCGGTGGCCGAAGCCGGTCTCGCTGCCCTCCAGGGAGCCGACGCTCGGCCGCTCCGACCGCTGCTGCCGCCGCTGCGTCCTGCGGGAGCGACGGCACGGTCAGCGAGCGCATCCGTGATAAGAGCGGCCGTGGTCAGGACCGTTCCTGGACAAGGCAGAGAGCGATTCAGAATACTGCTGTGATGTGGAGGGCGCGGTCACAGGACCTCGCTGCTCGAGGGAGGGTATGGCCAGGAAACAGCTCTGTCGGGAGGAGGCGAGGATCTGAGGCATGTGTGCCGAGGGAAGAGTTGGGCCAAAGAGCACCTCTGTGCGACAGTGACACAGTCAAGGACACCACTGTGGGAGCCAGGACACGGTCAGGGAACATTTTTGGTGCATAGAAAGAGTGAGAAAGGGACGATGATCTATGACGTCCCTGCGGTGGTGTAGCCGGGGGTCCACATGGGTTGCATTCTGCGAGTCCGTAAACACGTGAGCTGGCAACGATGGGTGGGGGAAGACGGGGCTGGGGACGAATGTGTGAAAAGGAAAGCAAGGTAGGAGATTTCTCTATGGGAGGAGGAGCGAGCTCGGTCCCGGACATGTCTGCGGAAGGCGGAGCAGTCACAGAGTTGCATCTCTGTGCGAGGCGGGGCATTGTCCGAAACACCCCTGTGTGAGGGAGGTCAGGGTCTGGCCTTTCTCTGTGGTGGGAGCGCGGGTAGAATCACGGAAAGCCCTGTGGGCGGCAGATCCCATCCGCAGCGCCAGGGAACGTCGCTGAAGAAGGCTACCAGCACCGGGACCAACGTGGTCGACCAAAGGCCGCGGAGAAGGTACGCCGTGAGATCGCTCGGCGATGACTCGGCCACAGCTCGGCGATGGCTGGCGATGGTTATGGCGATCGCAGGCTCGATTTCCGCGACTGACTGAACCAGCGGTCTTGTGGGGGCTCGTATGCCCACCTTGGTGTGAACCAACATTTTCTGCAGAATGTGGCAACTGGTCAGCCGGGTCCACCTAACTCCCACGGCTGTGAGGCCAAAGAGCGTGTTTAAACATACGCCTACCACGTGCAGCGTAAATTGGGCGTTCATTTCATTTTTCCCGGACGAGGCGGGAGGCGTGTGCGGCCGCGTGAACAAAAAAGTCAATGTTCATAACACAGGCTGCCTGCCATCAATCTGGGAGATCTTTTTCCTGGGCCGGATAATATGCGTGTTCTCGCCAGGAGACCTCCCAGATGCAATACATCCGACAAGGAGACCATATGGTTTTAAATGACAGCTTCCAGATTCACTAGGAAAATACCTTTTTATGTTCTCAGCAATTTTCAACCTGCAACATCGGTCGTGGTTGCGAGTGTGTGAACACACCATGTGGACCAAAACATGTGACGCGACATTTTCTACACCTGGCACACAGGAAACAGTCACCATGCACCCACACCGCAAAGCGGCGCTGAACGCCCCAGGTCCGGCAAGTACGCTCTAAGGTTGATTAATTGTTTTGCGCACGCCGCTGGCCGGCGTCGTGTCGGAAGCCGGGTAATCGGCGGCCGCGGTGGGCATTGTGCGGCCGGCGAGGTCGGTCTTCATCAGCGGGCCTCCCATGGGAGTGGACACACCGGCGCCGGCCAGCAGAGTGGCGCAGCTGCAGTCTGGCCGCGGCCCGTCTGACCCCGCCCTGCCGACCTAACTCGCCCGGCCGACCGGCCATACTCAGCGGCCATCGCCGGCTGTGGGCTTGCCCGCTGGCGAACCGGAGCCAAACGCGGCGATGGTGACGTCACATCGGTTTATTGGACTGGCGCAACGTGAACAGAATTCTGAGAGGGGAAGACGTAGTTGTTGACAACGGTGCTGAAACCTTCCCATCCATGCAACGGATGCACTTCCAACAATTTCCGCTAATGGCTGTTGGCCTCGAGTATAGTACGTTTAGTGTAGTGCTGCTTTGACTGTGACGAGCTGAGACATCGTTACGTCGTATCTAAGCACCAAATGTAGGCGGGCCTGAGCCACGCACGGCGCGCGATGACATGTTGTGACGATGAGAATTACGCACGAGCGGAATGCCCTCCTTTCAAAATGCGTCTAAACGGAAAACGTAATGAACGCATGCTGCCCAGAACAAAGGGGCCTAGTGAAAAATACCCGCTCCTAAAATGCCAATAAAATCACACGTGGGTGAAAAGGAATGTTTCAGCCGATAGCCAGGAAATCAGCTGGCATCCTGCTTGGCTATTCGCTTCTTTACGGTCCGCGGCTCGCATGCATCCCCCTGGCTCGCTGCATCCGTAAAGCCCACGATGGTATCAAACGACTGGGCGACTCCACGGCGCACCTTCCATTATCCAAAGCATTCTCCACGTCCCGCATACCCAACACAATGAGCTCATACTGGCCTTTCAGCACTGCACACTCACAAGTAGCGAAGGCCATGCCCGTCACCCATCGGGCTCCGCAGTCTTTCCACCTGTCGAGCTGTGTGTGCTTGACTTCGCACAAATGAAGCACATACGTTTTCCGCGTACCTTTTGTCACAATGTGCCATTCCTCCCTACGTCATTCCCCACACCTCCAACCCCTCCGCACCGCGCCGTGCCTCCCGCCCGGCTCACTAACGGTTCAACACCCATTCACAGCTCACCCAGGCCCAATTCCCTTCCGCTCCCCGTCCACTCACGCTCTCTCCGCGCTTCGAAGTCTCTGCAGTCGGCAGATTTTGCAACGACCCCCTCCCTTCACCCACGGTCCACCTCTGCTGCACCTGACACCACCACGTACCGCGCTCTGCAGACGGACGGCCGCGTCCGGCTCCCCCCCCCCCCCGCCCCGACGGCGGCCAAGCGAACGGCGGAGTGGGAGCGAGTCAGCGACCAAGGAGCCGGTGGTTACACGCGCTGTGACTCAGAGCTCTCACGCGGCGTGAGTCACCGGAGCTCAGCGGGCTCGCACGGCAGCGGGGACGCTCAGGTCACGGCCCGGTGTGAAGCTGACAGGTGACGGTCGGCTTGGAGCGCGCCCAGGACGCTGGTCAGACCCCTGATCGCTCGGGCACCCCCTGAGTCCGCACTCGAAGGCAGGAACCAATCACGTGCGAGAGCGAGACGCCAGCACACTTGCCGGCGACAAGCTTACGAGGCGTAACAACAGCGAACCTGGATCACTTCCGCTGTCAGCGCCAGCACGGCTGCCGCTTTCGCAGCGCTCTGATCGCCCAAGTATTCTGCTTTCTCTTAGGCCTGCAGTCACGGTGATTTTCGCCGGCGGTGCCGACCACCCCAGGTCACGTTCAACGGCGAGTTCACGCGTCGTCGCCGGCCACGCTCGTGTTACTCGTGTCCGGCGTCCCTCAGAAGTGCGTCTCACCTCTGTCAGGAGTCCATCTCCCTCCGTCAGGCCCCGATCCCACTCCGGCCGAACTGCCGTCCACCTTCTGCCAGGTTCGCGTCCACCTCCGGCCGGCCTCGCGGACCGGCCGCCACTGGACGGCGGTGCCGCCGGCCGGCCCGCTCCCCCGCCCCGGCCCAGCCCGGCTGCAGCGGCTTACCGGGCGGCGCGGCGCGGTCCGACGCCCGAGGGCGGGCGCCGAGCCCGTCCCCTCCCCGACCCCTCGGTCGACCGGGCGAGAACGGCGCGGAGCTGGGGCTTGCGCTCGGCTCCCCCGGGACACGGCGGGGGTTTGAACCTACTTCGCTTATTCACGCCGACCTCTGGCTAATGCGGCCCGGCGGCAGTGCAGGACTGGGGACCCGGGGTTTGTTCGCTTTGATCCCTTCCGCCAGGGCAGCCGTGCGTGGCGACGCTGCAGCCGGGCCGCGGATGCCGCCGAGCGTGGTGTCGGGAGGGAGGGAGAGAGGGAGGGAACCGCACTGTGCCTTCCACCTCATCCGCCGCAGACCCTCCCGTCTCATCACCCGCAATTAGTATAATGGTCTGCCGCGTCGGTCCGGCGGCGGCTCGGCGTCGCCCGCCGCGAGCGTCTGCCGGGCCGGGCCGGCCGTCTGGCGGTCGCGGCTGTCTTCCGGGGTCGGGTCGAAGCCCCCCCGACCCACCGGTGCGAATAGGCGGCGCAGTTTTCAGCGCCGCTTCAGGCGGTTCCCAGCGGTCCCAGGCTCGGCGGCGTCGACGGCGAGCTCGGCAGACCAGTCCCTGCGCGGCAGGGGTTTCGTCCCGGGCGGGGCCGCGCGTGACGCATGTCGCCGCGCGCAAGATAAAAACTCGGGGAAACCGGACGGTTTCGATGGCGGACACCATGACTTCGGCATGACGTGCGACGATTGCTGTTGCGCCATGGGCTGAATCACCTGGCGGAGGTCTCCCGGGCGCAGCACTCTCCGTTAGGGTGAACTTGGTGTGGCCGCGCGATATGACCCGCGCCTTCCCATCGCAGAGCGCTGTGGATGGCAAAGCAGAGCTATCCGCGGACGTTACTGCGATGACCAGCCTGTCCACACCATATCCCATGTTCTCTCCACCGTGAAGCAAGCACATGTTATCCGGCCGGTAACATCGTGACATGTACCCACGCCAGGCTTTTAGGCCGAGAACGAAAACTAGCGTGCAGATCGTGCAGGCCTCAAATTGCTGCACTGTTGCCGAAGACGACCCGGTAAGCTGGCCTGCCATGCTGCATGCATCGTGCACGCCTTGAGACGGCCTTGCTCATCCTTTCAGCAACGGACGATCGGTATGATGGCACCGCAGCGGTGCAGCGTCACACTGCACGCCGAAGCCGGTCGGTCGGACCCGTGACGCCGTTCGTGTGTCTCCATACAGCGTCACGTGACGCTGGGCGCTTTCTCTCGGCTCACATGTCGGATGGAACATGGGTTTTTGTACCGGGCAACAGGACACCAAACAAAAAGCACCCCCTCCCCCTTCAAAGCTATGGCACAATGAACAGAATGTCCGGTGCTACGTGTAGGCACAAGTTATCAAGGGCAACGGTTGCATGCCCCAATCGTTGCGTATTAACTTTGTGAAACCACAAGAGATGCCACAAGTCACAACAAAGGGAAGATAACAACTCTGTAGCTATCCAGGACTGAGAGTGATGATCACGCTACGTTCTAAAGGAACTTATTTCTTACTACGTGAAGAAATGCTGGAAAGCACATGTCTCAATCTCTTTCATACGTGACGACGATCGCATACATCGCACACCCTCACCATCCTTCTTTTAATAGTCTTGTTCTTTATCATTGTTGGTTTTCCTTACATCCACACTCCTCGTATACTTCCTTTTTATCCCAATATCTACGTGGCATTCTTGTCCACATTGCTGGCTGCAGGAGCAGTTGCATGTTTCGTGGAAGTGGATGGGCGTCATACAGGTATAAATGAAAACAAAAAACCCGTGAGCGCTTACCCGGGATCCCTTTGCATGATGCTGGCCAGGCTGATGGCGTTCATCCACTCGGTCATTTTCTCCTTGGTGTCGCAAGCGAAGTAATAGGTGCGCATGTTGGCGTGCTCGATGCGGAAGGAGAACTTGCGGTGCACGCGGTCCTCCTGCGAGACGGGGCACACGCGGTACGAGGGCAGCGTGATCGAGCCCAGAAGCTTATCTTCCTTGGCATCTGGAAAACAGCAAACACGCGGCCATCAGCTGGCCGTTGGCGAGCTGTTGACGAGCCAGCGCCGGCGCCATTAACAGGCGGCGGACACACTTGCCGCTGGACAATGGGCCGCGGAATGGGACCGCCGCCATCGCCATCGCTGGCCGGCAAACCCGGCGCCGCCACGACCGCCGAACGGCTAGCGGTGACGTCACAGCGGCAGCAGTGACGTCCAGGAGCAGCGCAGCGGTGGGGGGGGGGGGGGGGGGGGCGGGGCGGAAGGGACAGGAGCACTCTTTTGCGCCTTTAACATTCTGGGAGACTTCTTTTCCCCAATTCCAAGGGTTTATAACCACACGTATCTTACCAAAATTCAAACCAATGACGTCCTCATGACTGAGCTAGTGGTAACAAATCCGGTTCAGACAGTCCTTCTTACGCTGAGGGGCTACCCCTGTTCTGGATAACGAGGTACCGCCCTTACATCAGGAGGCCCCTATTCTCGGCCAGGGGGCCCTCTCATGCGTCAAAGGGCCACTGTTATTTCAATCCCGTTTGATTTTCGATCCTGCTTTACGGTGCCACAGTTATGGGTTCTGCGTGACTTCTTGCAGTCGATGCGCCCGAAAACCCCAAAACGAAAAAATGCCACTGCTCCGAGCCGGTATGCTCTGTTTCGTGATAATGGGTCCTCGCCGGATTTGCAGGCCTCTTCGAGAATCGGAAAGATTTTGTTCTGGATTAGGGCGCCCCTATGCATCGGAAGAGCCTTTTACGGAGCAGGAGGCCCTGCATTGGGATAGGAAAGCCGTTTACCATGTTAGGAAACCCCTGCATCTATTCCATTATTGCCCATACTTATCATACCATGTCAAATGCGCTCTGATTTTTTCATTTATTCACATGGCTGTTCATACATTTAATGAACAAATTGTTAGGGGGCACTTGCATCAGGTACTCCTCGCCGCCCTTCTTAAATATAACCCCACCCAGGAGGATTATTTGTGAGTAGGCCCAATTTTATCCAGGAGACCCCTAACTGACCCCTCCCATACCCAAATTCCATGGCGCCGCTCTTGATGACGCCACATGTGTCGATCATGACGTCACAGGGGTGGCGTGGGTGCGCGCTGACATGGCAGGGTCGGCATGGTTCAGCAGTGACGTCACAAGAGCTGTTGTTATGGGGACGGGGGGAGGGTCAGCGCTGGTATTATGGGGTGGTTAGCGCTGGCGTTGTGGGGACAATATTAGTCAGCACTGGCGTTAAAGGGACGGTGGGAATCAGTTCAGGCGTTATGGAGCCGGTGTTGTTCAGCGCTGGTGTTATGGGGACGATGTGGGTGAGCGCTGGCGTTACGGGGAAGGTGTTGTTTAGCGCTGGCGTTACAGGGACGGTGTGGGTCAGCGCTGGCGTTACGGGGAATGTGTGGTTCAGCGCTGGCGTTGTGGGGTCGGCGTGGGTCCGCGATGACGTTAGTGGAGCAGCGTATGTCAGTGGTAGTGTCGGAGGGGCGGCGTAGGTCAGCGGTGACGCTGAACGTAATGGCGCGGGTCAGCGTTGACGTCACATGTATTGGCGCGGGTCGGCGGCAGCAATACGAAGTGAGGCAAACAGTCATCAAACCATCGGATGCAGACAGCTGGCTGCGAAAAGCACCAGCTATGGCCAAACTTATTCTCCATAACATGATGGATTCATTTTCATCTTAATGTGCATTTGCCATTTCATGGACTGGGAGGAAAGGGTGAGAGCGCCACACCAGGTCACTAGAGGTGATACTTCCGAAGAAAAAGTGAAAGTGAGCAACAACACTGCCTGAATGAGAAAGCTGCACCGACAGCTGATCTTGCATGACTCTCGACATTCCTTTGGGGAATGTCGAGGTTGTGTGTCGGAGTGTCGGTTTGCAAACGGTTCACCAGAAGATGGCGCTACTCGAAATCGACCTTGCAATGAGCACAGACCTGAGACCAGGCCATAGCTCATTGCACTGACGCTTATGGTTTATTTGGTGTGAAAGCGTTGCAATCTCAGTTGAATTAATTTAAATCTTAGCGTACCAGCTGTGGCGACACGTAAGAATGCATTAAGATTAAGAGGTTCAAAATAAACGTTCTGGTGGAACCTGTCATTTTTAGAGTGGCAAGTCTGTCTTCACCACATGATTTTCTCTCCGACCCGCTAATATCCGACCCCCACCAGGTAAGCCCATCTCAGCAGCTGACCGCTGTGCACCACATCCACTGGCCAAATGAGGTGCAGTTACCACGATTTCCGTTGGTTGGAAGCCACTTCAGGCTGAGATTGTGGACGGTGCAATCAGCGTAGATTACATGGTTGGGCAACATCCGGGGCATGTCGGACAGTGTCGTGTTGGTGTACTGTCACAAGGAGGATGGAAGGGAGTGGGAGTGGACAAAAAAAGTGGGCGGGCGCATGCCGCGACATTGGCCGGGATGAAAGATCATCCAGCTCCGAGGACACTGAACCTGCCCTCTGCGGGGAGGACGGGCATCAGCGGCATCAAGCTTTTCAAAATGACAGATAGGTGCGCTATGTGTGGATTGAAAGAGAGCTCCTACTGCAAAATAATGCGATCATTGTTGATACGTTTTCGACGCCAATAGCATATGAGGCCGCCAGCGACGTCACCCATTGTGGAGACTGGGCGCGACGAGCAACCAGTGCACGTACCCTTGTAGTAGTAGAGGCAGAACTCAGCCAGGACAAACCAGCGCGTCTTCCACAGCCGGAGTCTCTCAGAGCCTTGCTTGTCCAGCCAGCCTCGCATGGTGACCGGCGCATCCGGCGAGCGGCGGGCCTGTGGGCCCCGCAGCGTGCCTCTCTGAAACACAGCAGACCGGGTCAGGTGACGGATTGTCGGCGAGAGGCGGGCCTATGGGCCCCGCAGCATGCCCCTCTGAAACACAGCAGACCGGGTCAGGTGACGGACTGCCGACGAGAGGCGGGCCTGTGGACCCCGCAGCGTGCCCCTCTGAAATGCGACAGACTGGGTCAAGTGACGGGCTGCTTTTTCGGACCTTAAGTTCGCTGAATCAGCTGTTTACGGTGCTACATACCACGCAACACCCTAAGAGCCATAACACGGAAACAAACGTTGGGACGCAGTGTTTACACTTGATCACACAATAAGGCGGAGGACCAATGGTCACATTTTGTTGTAATCTTTTCTGAAGATCAGGTAATATGTAGGTGATTCCTCTTGAATGCGACGAGTGAGCTGAGAGAGATAAAGACAAAAACATCCAGCAAGTACCTGTATTATGTGGAACACACCAACATGTCGCACGTGTTAGTTTTCAACTTCGGACCGCATTAAGAACCAAAAATCTTATAGGAATTGGACAATAGGATTTTTGGATGCGGTACGCATATATTTGTTTTGTTTCGAGGCGCACACCTGGTTGCCATAGCATGAGAAGGCTTTCAAGGTACTCCGTCACGTTCACAACGCAGAATGATCCACACAGCACGTATCTATTATCATAGTCCGAGATGTGGTCATGCTGTGCATCAAGCCGCATTGGACATCGGGCACACTTCAGTGAAAGCTAACCCGAGTGGATGACTCTGAACGGTGGAATAAACGGTGCCTCATTTAAACGAACTCTGAGGAAGCGACAAGCGCTACCACTGAGGTAAGGTCCCGCGTTACCACCGAGGTAACCTGATGACACGGTCACGCTTTTCCAGCTTTACCAGCGACTGTTGAGAAATTATTTGGAAGACAAAGTTTGTACCCGCCCGATTTCAACACTGGTCAGGCTAAATCGCACAGATGAAGGAGTTTAATCTTCTCTGCTCGCCTCTCAGCGATTGGAATCAATTATGTAGCAGGCAATCTGGGCAGTGGAGAAAATACGAGCACCGTAGGACGTCGTCTTGTTCACAACTTTGGTGCACAGGTGTTTGAAGTAGCTATTAAATGCGAATGTTTCTATTAGTTCAGTTATTATGAGTCAGTCGCGAACCGGCTGGCAAAGTTTTACGCAACCTAGGAGAATATTGTGTTTGAATTAGTGACCCGAATCGACACTACCAAATGGTTTCCAACGCCTCACGGCTAAGAACTTGGTAGGATAGAAGGACAATGTTTTGGCTGGAAGACGCCCCCACTTTTTCATCATTTGTCATTACAACTGCGTTGTTTAAGTTCAAACCGACCTTTCGCAGGAATTTTTGCCGCGGAATATTGCATGACGCAAATCACGAGTGGACCTATCTGACTTACGTTACCAGCTCCTTGCCGATGAGGTTCAGTGCACAAGTACCCGACGCCCTCATCGTAGATTGTTGAATTTCTTGCTGCAAACGAAGCCGCTGGATTCATCCATTTGTTGTTGTTCATTGGTGTTTTCGGGCACATCAACTTCAGTGGCCATTTTGCGCCCATAACGATGCTTTTACTTAATTAGTACGGTGTGAAAATGACTTGAAAATCAATATCTTTTAAAAACGAAAAAAGCTGTTTGGAATCAAGGAAGGAAGAACTGTCCCTGAGCACATCGCTAATCGTCAGGGACGAAGCCAGCGGACCAAAGGGACGCCGTCGTTCTTCGATGAGGCACGGACATGATACAATGACATGGTGGACAGTGAGAATGGCACCACACCACTGGCATAGGAGTCTGTCAGCTCCGTGCAACAGATGATCACGTGTGGCATACGTATGCCCAATACGCAACCTGCATAAAGCCACTTCTTCCCACCGCACACTGCGAGAGCATGACGACCACAAGCCCAAATCGGTTTTTATCGCCCTGAGCTTATTGCCGCCCACCTGGTCCCAACAACGTTGCAATTTGCTTTTCAGGAAGATCTTGACTGCCGGGTAGAAATCTCTAGCAGGGCTAGGCAAAAACTGGGTATATGGTGCCTCCGCTGCTCGCTTAGCAGCGGCATGAGCCAACTCGTTGCCCACGATACCGACGTGACTGGGGATCCAGTACGGGGCAACTCTCTTTCCAACCCGATTCGACGGTGTCAGGCGTGATAAAATGTCCTGTGTAAGGGGATGTGATGGATAAAAAGGCTTCAGTGCAGAGAGACTGCTTAGTGAATTAGTAAAAATGGCATGTGACGATTCTTCACCCACTTCTATGAAACATATCGCCTCGGTGATTGCAATTAATTCCGCTGTGAAAATTGACGAGTGGGCCGATAACGAGAACGATCGAGTGACAGATCCGCTGACAAAAGCACAACCCACGCCATCCGAGGTTTTGGATCCGTCTGCGTATGTCAGGGTTTATCCTTCATAACACGCCAGAAGTTCAAGTGCCCTGGATCTCGTTAGGTGTGGTGTGACGTCTTTTTTCCTAATTTCCGTCAGCGAGGTGTCAATGAAGGGTGTGATCACTTGCCAAGGACGAGAAGCCAGGTGGCTTACTTGCTTTACACCTCGAAGAGGAATTCCGCCCTCGAGCAATAAGGCTCTCATTCGGAAATCAAAAGTTAAAGCGTGCTGCTGCGGCCCATGGCGAAGGGAACTTACGGCAAACTGCGAAAATATTGCAGAATATGTCGGATGAAGTGGGAACTGCCGCAGCTTCAAGGCATAACGTATGCCGAGCATTTACCTCCTCGTTGAAAGTGGTGGCTCGTGTGCCTCCGTTAAAAAGCTGACGGAAGGTGATGTGCGGATCGCCCCAGTAGCAATACGAATGGCGGTATGGCTGGACGGTATCAAGAACGCGCTTGCTGGATTCAGACGCGCCATCATAAACAAAGCATGCATAATCCAGTTTGGAGCGGACGAGGGAACGATACAAAAGCATAAGCGTGCTTCTGTCTGCCCTATATGATGTGCGAGACACACACTTTAATATGTTGAGAGATTTAAAGCATCGATCGCGTGACATTTTAAGATGTGCGTTATATGTAAGACGGCGGTCAAAGTGTATCCCAAGGTACCTGGCCACGGCCTTTTTGGAATAGAGCGACCATATAGACGGATGCTCAGGTCATCACATAGCTGGCGACGACAAAAATGCATCGCAACGGTCTTGTCGCCTGCAAAACGAAACCCGTTCATGTCACCCCATCTTTCAATGCGGTCCACATCCAGCTGGAGACGTCGCTCCATCGCTGGTGCCCTCGCTGCACTGGCCCAAATAGTAAAATCGTCAACAAAAAAGGGCACGTCCGACCGACTGGGGAAGCACATCACAAATATAATTTATTATAACTGCGAACAGCGCTACACTTAACACGCCGCCCTGGGGCACGCCGTTTATTTGTGCGTACCTACCGGAGAGGACGTTGCCGACCCGAACACGGAAATATCGTTTGGCTAAAAACCTTTGGAGAAAAATACCCATATGGCCACGTATACCATATTTAAAAAGCTTTTGAAGAATAACATGGCGCCATGCAGTGTCGTAGGCGGCTTCATTGTCAAAGAACACTGTCCCCATATGCCCTTTTTCTTGAAAAGACTTACGAACCGTAGTGTCCAGAGCTAAAAGGTGGTCCATCGTACTACGGTTTTTCATAAACTCGCGCTGCGAGTTACTAAAACTATCGTTGTTCTGTAAAAACCAAGTGAGTCGCACGTTTACCATCTTTTCCATGACCTTGGATAGTGATGACGTCAGTGAAATTGGTCGGTAATGAAGAGGGTCCATCCCACTCTTTCCCGGTTTTAGGAAAGGCACCACAACAGCTTCTCGCCAGGCCGGAGGAACTCACCCCTTGACCACACCCTGTTCAAAGCAGCCGTGTACACGACGTAGACGGTGGTAGACGTAAGTACACGGTGGTAGACGTCGGAGCATCTCGCTGTGGATGTCATCAGGACCTTCCGACACACTGCGAAGTTTGTGTAGAAGTAAAATTGTAATTTAATTGTTGTAATAAAAATTGTGATAATTGTACAAAGAAAGAAAGAAGTAAGAAGACCTCCAACAAAGTGAAGGTCTCATTGTACGCCTATGGTTGCCTTGTGAAAAAGTTCCACGATTTTTTCGGATAGCGCTCTTTGCTGTAGAAACTGTGGGCTGGTGTTCCCACCTTCGCTATGGTGGGAGAGTGCTCGGGCGATCTCGTTAGCTACATCCAACGGATGAGTCACCAGCTGGCCGTTAACATGTAGCACAGGAAGTGGCACGGATGAAAACTGCCCAGAGATGCGTTTGATCCGAGCCCAAACCTACGAAGCTGGCGTGAGTCGGTTGAGCGTGATTACATACACACGCCAGGGCTCACGTTTCGCTTCTTTTATCGTGCGACGGGCAAAAGCTCTCGCCTTCTTAAAAGCTACTAAATTCTCCAAACTACTTCTGGCGTCAAAAGCTCGGAAAGCGCGCTTGCGAGCGCGAATTGCGTCACGACATTTCTCTGTCCATCACGGCACAGGAGTACGACGGGGAAATCCAGAAGTGCATCCGGAACACAAGAACGCGTGGGGCAGGTGGAACCAGCTCCTCGCTGCGCCCTAAATTCATCGCAGTCCGTCCCCCTCTCGGGGGCGGGTGCTATTTGGGTTTGTAGATGCCATGCAGTGTTGTTCTTAATTTCGACACCGGGCTCCCCACCCACCTCGGAGCCCAACTGGGGGACTTCCCACTCACCCAGGGGGTGGTGGTACCGCCAGGGCTACCTCGGTGCTATATGGGGCGAACGACGCCTCCCACACGGACAGGTGTAACCGGGGAGACCCCTCCCCGTCCTGACCGTGGTTCAGCGCCGCCGCCCCTTGACCCCTTAAGCCGCTGCGCACGGCCAGGCGCCCCAAGCGGAGAACCGCACGGAGCACCCAGCCGCAGCGCGAGCGACAAGCCGCTAGACCCGTGGGGGGGGGGGCCACGCCCCCCCCCCCCCGCCCCCGGGTATCCTAGCCAAAGTGAAGTGTTGGGCCGCGCCGTGACTGACCCGCACGACGCGCCCCTCAGCCACCAGGATCCGATCAACCCGGGGACGTGGGCGAGGGGGCACGGCGACCCCGATAAAACGAGGATGGGGAGTGGTAATAGGGCCGGATGCGGGAGTGCGGGTAATGTGGAGGGAGTGGGCGGGACAGGGAGCAGAAGCTCACGTACCGGCAGGGTCCCTACGCCCTGAGAAGAACAGCTCGCGCTGTCCACCCGTTACCGGAGCCGGGACCCGAGGGGGCGCTAGTCCCCTACACCGGCCGAAGCCGGTGCCCCCGCGGGGCCTGGATTCATCCACGACGTTACGGTTATAGTATATCGTGAAGTGAGGGACAAATGCCTTGAGCTCCTGGTTTTCATCAAAGGGAATTATGGCGCTGGCACAAATCGGTCTTAAAATGAGCACAGTGGTGCTGGGTAAACGACACCGTCACACAATGATAAGATGCATTTTTAAGAGCTTTGGTAACAACAGTAACCAGCGTTTGCCGGATGAATTAACTAAACCAGTAGTCAGTCAGTCAATTAACTAAACCAGTAGTCTTACCAAGTCAAAACTCATCCATGTCAGCAGCAAAGACCTTTAGGCTTGCATTTGCAAATTTCCATCGGCATGCTAAGCAATTCGCGTGGCTCAAAGGCGTGCATCGTTAAAATGGAATAAATTCATAAAATGAAACAGGTCATTCCCGCTGTTTACATGCGATCCCCAGACAAAGGTCTGAAAATGCTCTTTCGACTACCCCTCTGCGGTCTCAGGGCCTGTTTGATGGATCGGGTCACAAATAACCTTGAACAAATTACGCGGTCTTATTTTGCAATGTGTAATTCAAAAAAGGAAAGGTTTTTACCAGGTCTTATGCTTCAGAAGGACTTCAGAATAAATAGGAACCTAGATACGGCCAACGCAATGTCTTACTTTTTCATCAGAACTTCCAAACAATGCACAGATTATAATGCAGGTAGCCGGAAGATGGTGACATCTTTTGTCACATGTTTTATTGTTAAATGGTGAAAAGAAAACAATAAGAAACAAACTTTATGTTGTGAAACCTTCTTCACAGCTTCGATATTCAATGTATCAAGAGGCAGTATGCAACGATGGACACTATATGTACCACAGCCCGTTATTGAAAAGGTTAGGCATTTCAGTCGTTGTCTATACAAAAGGGGTGAATCTTACCAAAACCTTGCTAGGGGCTCAGAGCAGCACTGCGGGGCTGCGATTAACAATTGATGACCGTTCCCCTCCCCCTTCTTCAATGTATGTGGAACGACACCTCCGCGGGGTTCTTGGTGAAAGCGACGGTGCGACGGGGTAATGACGTCATCACGCTATGCAAACAGTCCTCAGTCAAATCCATTACGTGACATAGGCCTGCATGATCACTACACATTCACAGGTCTACGTGACCTTGGTCATGGGACACTGGATTTCCGGTCTGGCTGCGGCGTTGCTCGGCCCGGCCTGGTTCTCCGGCGAAATGGACTCCGGCCGAGGCGGTCGGCGAACGGAGAGCCGACTCTGTTCGGCAACGACTGCCATTCGCCCACGGCCCAGGCGGCTAACGAATCGGCTCCGGCGCCGAACGAGCCGCGCCCAGGGAAGACGTACGCGTGACGGAAGCCCACGGCGAGCCAGTGAAGCAAGGAGCGGCGGAACGGCTCGCAAATAAGTTGAGGAGGCGGCTACCTCACTGCAACTTTATGATAGGGTCGGAGCGTAATTTGTTGTTAACGCGGGTGGACATATTGGTGCCGTGTCTTTTGGTCTTGTTTTGCAGCGCAATCGCAGTGAAGTGGAAGGAAGAACACTGAATGATACTTTTATGTCAAGTGAAACTGTCAAGACAGTTATGTCTCAAATAACCAGCTACAGGCTGTCGATGGTAGTAAGGACGGGAGCTAAAAACATACGTAGGCACAACAGCAAACATCCAGGACCCTTAAGTCAGTCGTAATGCAAAATTTCACTAGCTCTTTTTTTCTCCCTGTCCCTGTCCCTGTCCCTGTCCCTGTCCCTGTCCCTGTCCCTGTCCCTGTCCCTGTCCCTGTCCCTGTCCCTGTCCCTGTCTGTCTGTCTGTCTCTTTCTCTCTCTCTCTCTCTCTCTCTCTCTCTCTCTCTCTCTCTCTCTCTCTCTCTCTCTCTCTCTCTCTCTCTCTCTCTCTCTCTCTCTCATCTCTCTCTCTCTCTCTCTCTCTCTCTCTCTCTCTCTCTCTCTCTCTCTCTCTCTCTCTCTCTCTCTCTCTCTCTCTCCCTCTGGCTGCAACGAGGGATCAACTTTGTTAAACAAGGAGTGGTGGCACCAGTCTTCTTCACCACCCCGGCACGGTCTTCATTCATCACGATATCGACTAAGTCTACGTTCTTCTTGCCATGATTGTCGATAGATGAATAACACAGCTAACTGCGAGTGCTTCATATTTTCTGCGAAGGCAGACACTGACCATTTGACATAATATTTTGCATTGCTCACCTTCTTAGCTTCCATCGCACCGGCCGTTATCTTCCCCGGATCGTGTTGCGCTCTGTAACAAGGAGAGATTCGCATCAGCCACCCATTCAAAATTACCACGATGTCAACACAGCACCGTATCAGATCAAACCGGACAGGGCCATGCCGACCGTAGTCACTGACGTCAGCCGTCACCGTATTACCCCAATGTCAACACAGCACCGTATCAGATCTAACCGGACAGCGCCATGCCGACCGTAGTCACTGACGTCAGCCGTCGGAATCGGATGAGTTTCCGCCTCCACCTCGTCTCCGGCGCGGCGCCGCCGATGGCGTCAGGTCAGTCAGCGAGCCTCGCTGCCGCTCGGACGAAGACCAGCACGCGGATCGCGAGCGTCACGCCGGCCGAGCCCGTTCCGGCGCTCGGTGCAGTCACGAACGGTCCGACTGCCACCCGGCCGGCGCGGCGGCGGCCGACGCGGCTATAAACCCGGCCCGGAATGCGGGCCCACCCAATCGGATGTGGTGCGAGCCGGGCCCTCTGACCGCAGCGCGCCCGGGCCGCGGCCGGCGCTGGGCGGCCCGGCAGCGGCAAGGTCGCGCACGGGTCAGCGGCGGCCGACACAGTCTTGGGAAACGGGCGGAACGACTGCCGGCTCCGGGAGATGGGGGTGGGGTGGGATGGGAAAGGGTCATGGTGTGTACACGGATGAATTAACAGGTCTTCTTTAAGCTCCTGAGAGTCGATCGCCGGTCGCAAAGTCCTCTTTGCATCAGATGGGGGCGTGCTTCATCAGATGCATTCACGCAACAAGCCCTGGCACAGGCTGTGAAAGAATTGGGGATAGTTGCACTTTAACACGCGGGCGCCTTGCACCCATACAAGCGCTCCTACGGACGGACGTGAATATGTGAGACAAACGCAGACGCGTGCACGCTTCGCGGCTGTGAATGGCTGGGCGTGCGCGGCGGACAGGAGCGCGGTGGTAGGCTTCGCGCAGCGGCCGGGCGATGCGTATGGGAATGCTCCCGCGGGAGCATCCGCCACGCCGCGGATTTAAAACAACCGGCGTGCTAAGTGCGGATGCCCCAGCGAATACGTCCATCCGAGTTTAGACAAGCCGTGCTCACGAGAAAGTCCCTGCCAGCGTGAGCGCAGCGCACGCACGTCACATTTGAATGTCCGGTCGTGCGCAGCATATAAAGATTACACGGATCTGAAGGAAAGAGAAAGAGGAGCAGCAGGGTTTTCACGACTCACGTGATTCAAGAGGAAAAGCTGGAAACGCTCCGCAGTCTAGGATGACTAGACCAAGCTTGTAATGTCGAACATTGCTCGCCGCACCAGAGTCAACATGTTGAGTAGACCCGACGAAGCCGATTGAAGTAACTGGTAGCGCGAAGTTAACGAGGGTGTCCTTCGTTGCAGGGCGACTGCCCACGACATAACTGGAACACAAACCCGCGTCCAGCCAGCCCCTACGGCTGTCACGCACTCATCCTGCGCCAGCCCCTACGGGAGCGAAAACAGAAGAAGCGCAACAGTGCGCGGTAGGGAACTGGCTGATTTGTGTCGCTGACTTCAAACTTCCACACTGCTTCGCACGGGCTCAATTTGACCCAATATCTTGAAATCTGCTAAGCCTTTATCACTGAATGACTACCGTAACGTGCATTGTCTGTTGACATGCAAGGTGTTTTAAACATTATTGAAAGTATGGCGCCTTCAGGTGGGAAAAGCCGCGCAGAAACGTATCACGTAACATCAAATGAATCATGGCTCTCAAAGGGCACGCTAGTTCACAACGTGTTAAGCCACCCATAAATGGTAGCATACAAAGTACACTGGCAACTTAAGGTCAGTGACGTATTGAAGAATGTGCAGTTTGCGAGGGTAAGGGATAGTTCATCTCCACTTATCGTTCCTTAATCCAGCGTGCTGACTGCTAAGCTGCCCAGATATACTGAAAACAGTCAGAAATTATGTTTTCACCAGTAATGCACCCTTTGCAAGCATTGTTGGCTGATTCAGGCACAATAAAAACGGAAAAAAGTTTACTAACTCTTATGCGTAAGTGTTTGCATAATCAACCCGCAACGATTTGTATTGCCCAAAAGAGTGAAGATTGTCAGGATGCTTCCATCACTTTTGTCGATGGCTGATCTGGGATTGCTACATTAGGGGCCAATTATGTTAATTATTATTTTCCATGAAAAAATTCGGGCCAGGGGGAATCCAGGTTACAACCCAATAACCGGAGTACAATGCATGTGCACATTTCACATGGGCTATTCGACTACGCCTTCGTTGCATTTGTCGTATGCATACAATAAAACGTCGAAATGCTATGCGGAAACTCAGGCATGGCCAGAAGAATAGTTGAACATCTTTGGAATCAGAGCATTTGTAGTCTTTAATTGAATTACTTTACCATTGCTCACACATGAACACAGCCCTCAAACATAGATCACATCTCCAATACGGGTATGCATGATGACAGCAGCCGGAAAAATAAAATAATTCGCGAGGATTTGCCCTTGCACCTCCACCATCTCTCATCGGCTAGTGTGACTCTTCTCATGCAGCGGCAGTATGTGTCATGCACATGTCTTTAACTGTCGGCTGCTCTTAATGTGTCTACCTGTATGACTTTACTATTTCCGTGTCACTTAGCTAGCTCATGCGCCTAGCTAAGTGTCCAAGCTTTTCCCTTTACCGCTCCTGCCTCGTGAGGTTATGCACATTATCAGTAGCCCTGATGTGATCAGTCTCGATACAGAAAACTGTGTTACGATTTATCCCAGCAGGCCATTGGTAAGTACAGTATATGACTGGTGCACAATGCTTTCGCTTAGAAAAGCTTGTGATTTTCCTCAGCCTGTCTCCGAAAAGCCGCTCCCAGAGTTGGGTCAGGATTTCGTAGATAGCTCACAGTGTGACGAAGTGTTTTAAATAGATACGAGAAGTTTCCAAGTTTCTGAATGTCATCGGTCGTGATTTTAATCAAAAATATCGTATCAGTTTTGATCACGGCATAAAAATATGTTTAAATGGTCAGTTCTTTATTTTTCTATTCATTAAAGACCCCTGCAGAAACATTTGCCACCGACATGGCCCCATGAGGACTGGACGAGTACACACATACACACACACACACACACACACACATCCACGCCCACGCCCACGCCCACGCCCACCGCCCACGTCCCACACGCCCACGCCCACCGCCCACGCCCACGCCCACGCCCACGCCCTACGCCACGCCCAACGCCCACGCCCACGCCCACGCCCACGCCCACGCCCACGCCCACGCCCACGCCCACGCACGCCACGCCCACACCACCCCACTCCCTCTCTCTCTCTCTCTCTCTCTCTCTCTCTCTCTCTCTCTCTCTCTCTCTCTCTCTCTCTCTCTGGTTCTACGCATGCCCCTATCTTCATATACCTATCTGTGTCTCTATTTCCCAATCCTTCGCCCAGGTTTCTATTCATCCCTCTGTCTGTCTTTCTCTCGTTCTCTCATGAGCATCACATGTTTTAAACCCATGCGACAGTCATTCCACACACTATGCTTATCATACGAGGCGCACGCTCAGCTGAAGCCTCTTCGTCTGCAGATGTTAGCTGTCTTTTTGTTCCGTCCAGCCAGTTTTTACCGAAAGCCTCCGAGCATTTACCCCGATTCCCATTAAAACTCCCACACATTCGACCAAGGATGGCCGCCAGGCTCGGAAGTGAAAAGCTGGTTGTCAATGTCAGCTTTGTAAGCACAGTTTTTTAGACGTTGTCGACAAACTCGGCTTATTTGCTGTCAGGTCTCTAGGAAATCCGTCGCACTGAAAAAACGTTTCAATCCCAAAGGGCAATACAGCATTCCTAAGGAATATTATCGAACCTCATATCAAACGCTACGGAGCCGAAAAGCCGAGGGGCGTTTTAGATGATTGAGTGCTTCCAATAACAGTCAGCGATCCAGGAGGACTGAGCCAGTGGCTTCAGTATATTCTCAGTCGGGCTATATTATTAAGCGCAAGTTCCCAGCTCATAACTTAACCTCGGAGCTGAGCCAACTATTACAAAATCCCTCCAGAAGAGTTGTCCATATCCAGACTCAGCATTCATAGCCAATATCAGACGTTGGCCGAGTTCGGGACGCAAACACCGGAGAAGAGATTACCTCCGTTGAGCTCTCGTTTAGGGCTTGTAATGGTTCACAGATGGTACTCTTATAAGGTGGCGGGATAATCCATTTCCAATAAAGCGGCGAGACCGTTAATTTCCAATTGTCTGTGTGGTATTGCTTAGTTTTGTCATTTAATGGTTCCCTGGATATGAATCAATGGTACGGCATCGACCTGCGCTACTCACTTCTACCCCGAATTCCTGAGCTGTTATCCACTATCACTTGAAGGCAGCCGTGGCATGTCTGCAGCATAATTTCGAAGCAAACAATGTTTAACGCGACAAAACAAATTTTCTGCTGTTAAGCTGACGCCATCTTGACTTGTGAGAAGTTCAAATGAAAGCCGTGAATCTCACCCAACAACACTTACAGACACTACCCTTTCCAATTCTGAGAATCACCCGCACCGTTCCCGGAGAAGAGCAGAAGGGCACGGGAAAGTATTAACAAAAGGACAGTGACGTCTGGGAGACGCACGTGTAACGGCTGGGGCACCCCTAAGTGAAAGCGGAGACGCCGGCTCCCCTACGGACCGGCCATGTGAGACGCCGACCTCAGTGCGGGGGTCCCGCGCACAGACCGTGTAATCGAGGGCAGCCAGGCCAAAAAAACGTCACGCTGGGAGCGGCCAGTCATGCGACCGGGCTGGGCCGGACGCTTCGCCGACCTTTGCCATCGGATCAGAGCGGCTGTTGAACGGGCTGGGCCGGACCTCTGTTATTGGATCAGAGCGGCTGTGGACTGGGCCAGGCTGGACCTCTGTCATCGGATCAAAGCGGCTGTTGACTGGGCCAGGCTGGACCTCTGTCATCGGATCAGAGCGGCTGTCGACCGGCCCGGCAGGCCGGGCCGGACCTCTGTCATCGGATCAAAGCGGTTCGTTGACTGG